TTGAAATAGACATTAAAATATTACCATTTATGGAGGTTGAAATAAATTTATTTACTTAATTTTAGAAGAAACACAAATTTATTGTTGATAAAAAAGTGACTGACAACCCTGGCAGCGTTTTTTTTCTCTACTTTGGGAATGGTGCCGGTACCAGACTGATTGGGAAAAAATGCGTTATTTGACTAAAATTGGGAATTTTTTTAATGCATTTTTTCAGCTACAAATGAGATTAGACATCATGAATAAAGATAGCTAACAGCTTCTACTGTCTAGATAGAACTATTGAGTGGTGATTTATATGAATATGTTGGATTTAAATGATTTTAGAAAAATCACTTTGTCTTGTGGGCATTTTGAACAGTTATTTTGGGAATTTAACATTGGAAATTGGGAATTTTAATGTCTATTTTCTATTGGGAATGGTACCGTTTTAGGGTAGTAGTTATATAAAGAAAAAAAACACTGACTGAACAAAGAAAATACTAAATTAAGCATTTTCGGGGCCGTCCGGGTTTGGTGGTTGTCCGGTTTTGGTGGTCCCCAACCAGTAGGGGTATTTGCAACCCCAATGTCTGTTATTCGGGTTATACAGGACTGCTCCATAACATCAAATTAGACAAATACCCATAGGGACCCGGCACAGTGTTGGGATAGTGTAAATAAGTAATTCTAGAAAAAAATATATAGTTTATATGTAATATATAGACAAGGGGTTGAACTCGCCAAATTGGCAGAATGCCACTTGTCCAGTTAAGTCAAAATTGCAGTCATTTTTACGTAAATCATATTAACTTATATATTAATTTGCAGCTAAATGACATCACTTGATGTTGACAATAACATTATTGTTCCCACTTAAACCGTTTTAGAACAGCAAACCAATATTTCGGATGGAACGTCATACTTTTGCTAGGTTGACAACAACCGTGCAACCTGTCAACACTCGATTTTCTACGTGCAAAAACGCAATTCTAAACCATGTCATTGTACCAACCGGCAATAAATCGCTGTAGTGCTCTTAGATAACATGTATGACGTGTATCAATTCAAATGAAATCAAATTAAAAGTAAATGAAAATTTAAAAAAAAACATATATCCTATACCTAATGAGCTGTGAAAAAATCCTTAGTTAACAGGGCGCCGCCATTTTGAAATCCCTTTGAGCTAAATATAGATATCACAGCGCTTTTAATGAGCGTCTACATAATTCAGACTATTGCTAGCAGACGCATGCCAGTGATTTTTTTCCCTGTATTTTACAGCCGAATAAAGGCTGTTTCCCCTAGCTCAAAATAGGTATATTTTCCCCTAAAAAAGCAAATTTTTCCCCTGAAATGCCCTGTGCACTTTTTCACCAGAAACATGACTCAACAGCATCTGACTTTATATCAGCTAGAAGACATAAAGCTGTCCCTATAGCCTCTGATTTTTACCATGCATGTTAAATTGAATTGAAATTGAAAATTTTATTAAATGTGTGGGTAAATTCCATTCTCACTTGTTGGAATTTGATTTTCCCCATTTCTGATTTATCGCGCTATAATTTCCCCATCAGAAAGCCACAGGTTGTTTTGAAAATTGGAAAAAAAATCACTGCATGCTTAATAACGATTTCGAGACGTTTCGGCCCCAAGACATATCGGCCCCAAATTACCCAAGACATTTCGGCCCCAGATGTTTCGGCCCTTTACCAAATCGGCCCCAGAATAGGTACTGTGTTTAAACGGGTATATTAAAATTTCATAGTTATAATAATCATAAATGACAATTTTTATGAAGTGGAACGCCAATTTCCAAGTACCTTGAAAGATTTACAATACCTCTTATATATTTTACGTAAGATTAAATCTTTACCAAAACCATCAACGATTAGATACTTGTTGCATTTAATGTTAACTTCAATGTTTATAAATATCTCACAATAAATAGCTACTCGTAATTATTTCCTTGATATTGAAAAATCTAACACATTTAATTATCAGGTAAGGAAAGTTAGTTGTTCATGCACGTGAAAATCGAAACATTCGGTCATGTAATTTTACAATGAAAAGAAAACAGAAGCCATAATATCTATAATTCTTTTGTCACTGTCAACATTGTTTGATTAAACTAATTAATAAATATATAGCAGGTACATAGTATTTATAATTTGGTTTCAGTCTTTCAATCATTTTTATAACAACTAGCATCTATCATTATTTAATAATAATAATAATTAAAAATATTATCAGGAGATTATAGAAAACCGTTTATTTTGTTTAATCTTTGAAGTTTTCTCTGATATTACTTACATAAAGCTAAACAAAGAAAAAATAATGTTTTCTAAGGAAAAACTGTAATTAACTTTCTTAATCAAGAAGTTTTAGTGGTTTGATTTATAAATTAAGGATTAACCTGCCTTTATTGTTTGTTACACCTTTAAAAACGTTAACGTATATCTAAATGGTTCAGGAAATCAAAAGATAATAAATAATTATTTAAAGAATTAAAGTGTCATAATTGTTTAATTGTAATTAAGTTAATTGTTGTTAATTAATTTAATTAATTGGGCCACTCTTAAAAAATTATCTGTTTGCTATTGCCGGCCGACCCAGCGAAAATGCCCCGACTCAAAAGTTTTTTTCAGCTTAAAAAAATCAGATTTTTTTTTATTTCCGCCAAATCAGCCAGGGCATTCCACCTAAAAAAATTCCCTCGAAAACAAAAATAAAATCGGAGGAAAATCACACATTTAATATGTAAAGTAACGAGTGATCTTTCATGAGGGCATTCTGTGCGTTACTATTTAAAGTATTTACATAAATAGCAACCAACCAGGGAAGGATATTTTCCTTACGTCACGCAGTACTGCATGCGCGCGGCAATTAAGTCGAATTAACTAATAATAGAACGTATCAAATAAAGGTGTGGAAACGGGATTAAAAATAATGTTTGTTCAGTTAATGAATATTTGTAAAGCATTTATATGGTCACTAGTTTACCATGTGGTAATTTTAATGTGCTTTGGAGTACATGTTCGTTTGTTTATGACTGCCGACACAGATTAAATACTTAGCCCATGCAATAAAACATTTCTGGTAGCAGCGGGGATTCTGTCATAAAATTTACCGAAAAAATAATTTTTTGGAAGCTGTGGTCATTTCATATGCATTATTGTTTTGATAGCAGACACAAGTATTGCAAAATATCTTCAAGATCATAATAATGTAAATAAAATATCACAATCAAAATCACAGATTTACATACGTCTAATTAAACTCCATGTCAAAATGCACTTACGATTAATAATATGTCAATAATTGACACGATAAATATCCAACATTTTTTACTTGAGCAATAATTAAACATGTGTAATCATTCCTTGACAAAAAGAAATGACAGTTTTTTTTCTGATATATAAAAAAGAGGTGGAAGTCAATTGAGTGTCGGCATTTCTTTGATGATTCGGCAACCGTGAACTACAGGTGTGTAAACATCAAAGATTCACAGATTCTTCAGAAGAGCCGACCAGTCATTTGTCAGAGGTCATTTCGTGTGTAAATTTTGTATTTATATTTAACAATGGAAACATTATATTCCTTTTATTTATGGATGCTACTTTTTGCGCGAGTGTTTTTGTGTCTTTTAGCGCTATGGAATTTCAACAATCTGCGATAATTTTCGGTAACTAACAATGAAATATTTTAACGATCCGCCATTCAGAAATTATAGGAGACAAATCTTGCGTGTGTTATTTTTTACAGACGTGTAATAAATTGAGTAATGATCATGCATCCGTGAGAACGAAATGTCCTGGTGATCCACTATAATTTTTCCAGTTCGTACGGGAATTTTACGCAGGATTAGTTTATCACATCGGTAATTTGACCATGCTTGAATTTATGTCTACATAGTCATTTTTTTTATTTCATGTTATGATTACTAGTGAACATGTTTTTTATTGTTTTTGACTGTCTTTTACATGTTAGTTTTGCCGATGATGATAGTGTAGCCCAAATTTCCACAATCTGTTACAACGTACTAAGCGTATTAACTTACGTTCAGTAAAAATTATATATCAAAAAAAAAAAAAAAAAAAGCCTACCTACCGACCCACTCCTTATAACTCTGGGTCGGCAATAGCAAACATATATATTATTAAGGATGGCCTTGCCTGTACTATACAGTAGGGCCAAAACGTCTCGCAGAAAAGGGCCGAAACGTCCAGGGCCCAATTTTTCCACTGGGGCCGATTTGGTTTGGGGCCGAAACGTCCTGTTTGCCTTAATAACACTTCCGGTGAAAGAATGATGTACAAAATCAGAAAATATAAATTCATTTCATTCATAAGAACTATAGTAACGATGATAAATGTAAAAAGGTACTTTTAAATCCTTTTTGATAAATAAGCACATTAAAAATAACGTAAAAACAACATATGTGATTAGAGATTAACAGAAAATGGCATACGGGATTTTCCAAACGCCGACGCATGCGCAGTGGTCCCTCTTCCAATGATAGGTTGAACACCACCAATTTATTCGTTTCTGCTTAAGGTACAAAATACCTGCATTTACTTATTAACGAATTGCATGATGGATCTGGTTAACATGTACACTAAACATGTTATGTATACTAAATCATGAATCATAAGAGCTTTCCGCGCCATAGGTAGCACCTAATTTCATATTAATTTTCTCTAGAATTACTTTTTTACACTATCCAAACTATGTTCTGGGTCCCTTTGCAAATACCCATATAATTTATGAAAGGAAAATATTTTAAAGCAGCATATGAAGTTTTAGAAGACAAGGCAGCAGCTCGAGACAAAAATTTTGATTTTTTTTAAAAGAAGCGTGGATTCGGTAAGATGAATGCAAATCAATTCGGCTTTTATGCATTATTAGGAATAATTATGTATATTTCAACCCGATTCGGCGATTGTGAAATAAATAATCAGACTGTCGCGAAATGTAATGATAAATGTTAAAATGTCCGTATCAGATAATTAAAACAACACCTTGTGCTTCAGTGGCTGTTTTCTTAACCCCGAGAACATCATATAAATTGTCTGTAGCAAAATATTCCTTGCACTCTTCGATTAGACTAGGCATTTTTAAAAATCAAAATTTGTTAGCGCGCGTTAGCCTGTGATATGTGTTATATACACGTCGTGTTAATTATATAAAATTTGGTTATAAGCCACTAAAAACTTTCTGAAATTTTTGAAGGCAACTTATGTTCCTATTTGTATTTACTTCCTAGAGAAATCTTATTGATCAATGTTATGAGAATAGAATAGAATAGAATAGAAAGGAACGGAACAGAATAGAATAGAATAACTTTTATTCCCAATCAAGGGTCAAGTTAAATGACATGTAAACCAAAATAATAATGAGATCAAAGATCAAATAAAGACGTTAAAAACTAAAACTTGATTTTATTTTATAGTAACAACAATGAACTAAATAAAAAACAAAATAAATGACAAAGTTTCGCTAACTAGACTTATCTTAACTATTAAACATCATTATTACAAATATACATGTATACAGCTGTATATGATTTAATGATGACATTTTGTTTTTAAAATTCTTTGAATTACATTCAAATTACACAACAGTTATACCTGTACTGTACAACACACATGTCCCTCAACAACACAAGTACTAAGTTCAATTAATTTATGTTTTCGCAGTATTATTTCTGAGTTTATAACAGGTAAAAATAAAATCTGTAAAATCCACACATTTCTAGTTGCATTACAGTTTCTGAGTTTGAATATCTAATTCGTGATATTCACTTAAAGATGGCAAACATGTTTTTTTTTCAAACATAACTGAATTTATTTGCACTACGAAACGTAGTTTTTTTTTAACTTTCCCATAATGTACGTAATGTTACTTGTGAATGAAATAAACAATGAAACGACTTTTCAGGTGGACCTATATATAGTAAAATAATACTTTCTGTGCATAGATTTCTAAAATTATTCCAATTTACTAGTATGTTTACTGGGATTTACGTTACAAACGTAACAATAATTGGTAGTTTCCTCGGGCGCGATTCGTTGTATTTCATTCTCTATAAATTTAGAGAAAAATGTGTTAACAAGTGGCAAAAAAGCTCAGTCGATAGAGCCGCAAAACGGTATTCAAAGGGTCCCGGGTTCAAGTTACGGTCAGGCTGCACAGTTTTCTCACCCTGTCACATTTGGCGCCCAACGTGGGACCGTAACTTGCACATATAGGCTTAATGTCGAACAATTCTAGCAGTGTACTACGGTAAGTTGTTTATTTATCTAAGAAACTGTACTACGTGTTTAACAGATAAGTCGTAAATAATATAAAATTATAACACTTAGTTTCAGTTCAAAAATGGAAAATTAGCATTTATGTTTTGCCCAATATAGCAAAGTTGGAATATGAGCCAGATTCAGTAGGTATGAGCGTGTCCGTCAACGGCAGCGGCAAATACATGTTGCCATTCACGCCCCTTAGCAGCGACTTTAACAGAACTTATTTGAACTAACATATAAAAAGATGATTAAAAACTAGTTGAGTACAATACTAGATTCAATTGGACGTGTATACAGCTGCCAAACATGTATTGGACGAAAAGCTAGACGTGTCTTATATAGGTTTTTGAAGCTGTACGAGATGTATAATGACATCTTTTTCCACACCACTATTTTTTTTACTGTTTTCTTCGAGCAAAACAAGGATTTAACATGATTTTTCAAGATTCTTTACATTTTGCACAAAAAAATTTAAAACGAGACCAGATGGAGTACAATATTTATTCTATATGGAATTTTTGGACTGTGCAATTCAATAAAGGGATGCTGTGTTTATTATAAACAGAAAAAAACATGTTCCAGCTCTCGTTCCACTTTTACAGTTTGTTTTATGTGTGTTAATTTGGTGTGGATGCAGAGAATACGAGATGTTGATACTATGAGTTTATTTCTAAGACTGTTTAACAATATGTAGTCAATTGGTCAGTACACTAAGTAGGCGGAGCCTAACAATCAAGTTTAAAGGTACTGCATGCAATATATATTTAATGTAGGATTAAATATGAAACAATATATATTTAATGTAGAATTAAATATGAAACATCTCCCTTCTTTTAAAAAAAACAACAACAAGAAATTTCTAAAGAATCTCAAGGCAAATAATGTTGATATCACTTGTATCAGATTTATCTTAATGTCTGTTTTATTGCCGATGATAATGTTCTCAGTTCTATTCCTCCACAGATGTTGTAAAAATGTCAGCAAATTATTTATGGCTTATCTGTGAGGTAGAATGTCCATTTAATTGATAGCTGATTTCACGCTAGTTCCATGGTGTATCATTACGCTAATAGTCACTATAAATTCACACTGACCTCTAGAATAATAATATTTGTAGTCTACACGTGTTTCTTTGTACTGTAGTAGAGATATTTGTATGCAAAACTGTACATAAACACATATATCATTTTAAGAGCCAACATAACATTATTAAAATAGCATGTATTGTATAAGTAACAAATTTCTACATGGTAAGTTTATGAGGTTTTTTAACACAAAGACCTGATCTTGTTTTTATATTCATTGTCTGAATTCTCAGACAGGGGTGATTGATGTTTGACAGGCGAGGTTTGTTTTGGTGTCTGGGGCTGTAAGACAACAGGGGATTCTTGAGAATGAGCGTCTTGACCTGATGTCAAAATTTTATTGGCAGGGTCATTTGTACTAGGGTTATGAACTTTTGTGTTATAGGATTTTATTTCTAAAGGTGGTTGGTGTAATGTAAAATTTGAACTGTTCTCTGTTTCAGAAAATGGTTGTTCATTTGATTTTAGTAGATGGTATCTATTTCGTCTATATATTGCAACATCTTTTGTTCTTACATCATAAGATCTGTCATGAACTTTATGCATAACTTCTGCAGGTAACCAACTTTTTTCCTTGCCTAATTCTAACACCTTCTCCAATTTCTAGAGGTTTGAGGGTTTTAGTTTGACCTGTCATTATAATATTTTGACCTTTTGTTTAGTATTAAACATGCTGTCTCTGATAACCTGTGTGTCAGGAACTTTGGGATCAAGTTGCTCTGACATTAAATGGCAATGTTGACCTTAACTGTCTGCTCATAAGCAGCTGTGCTGGAGATTTTCCACAGGGTAATGGGCATTGCGATATTTCCAGCATCGCAAGATAAGGATCTTTTCCTGCTTGTTTTGATTTTGTAAACAGATTTTTGACAGTTTTGACAGTGATTTCTGCCAAACCATTGCCTGATGAATGACCTGGGGATGATGTAACATGAGAAAAATCATACAGTTTTGTGAACTGTAAGAAACTTTCTGCACTGTAACAGGGGCCATTATCTGAGTATAATACTTCAGGTATTCCATGCCTGCTAAAGAAGCTTTTCAATTTGTTAATGACTGTACTAGATTTTGTACTTAAGATTTGACTAACTTCAAAGTACTTGCTGTAAGCATCAACTAATAACACATAATCTGAATTATTCCAATGAAAGAGATCTGTAGCACAAATTTGCCACGGCATATCGGGTATTTTATTTGGTCTCAAGGGTTCCTTCGGGTTTGAACACCTATGCTCTATACATATAGGACATTCCAGGACTTTTTTCTTTATGTATGTGGCCATGTTTGGCCAAAAGAGCAGGTTTCGAGCTCTATTTAAGCATTTTTCTACACCTAAGTGTGCATCATGAATAATGTCAAGCATGAGTGATCTGAGCTCTCCTGGAACTAGAATTTTAGTATTCTTTAAGATGACACCATCTATAACTGATAGTTCATCTCTGAAATTCCAGAATTCCAGAATACTTTGAGGGCAATCTGATCTATTATTAGGCATCCTTCATGAATAACTGATGAAAGAATTTTCATTTGTGGGTCAGATTTGGTTGTTAACCTAATTTGTTCCATTTTTTGGTCACTCACTGGTAAGTTAGACATTATTGTGTGTACATGTGTTTCTAGATTAGCCGATTCGGCTATTTCTGGGCCTGTGTCTGGTAAGAATTTCCGAGACAAACAATCTGCCATGGGTATATCTTTCCCAGGGATGAAAACTACATCAATATCATTCGGCTGCAAACGCAGTAATATGCGCTGCAGTCGTGGAGGTGCTGAGTTCAAGCCTTTTTTCCATATAGCTTGGAGAGGTTTATGATCACTTTGACATGTAATACGTTTACCGTAAATGTACTGGTGGAATTTTTTACATCCGAAAAGGATAGCGTACAATTCCTTTGTGATTTGTGCATAATTGACCTCAGTAGGGGTAAGTGACTTTGATGCAAAACCAACTGGTTTACCCTCCTGCATGAGTACTGAAGATAAACCATACTTGGACGAGTCGACTTGAAGAGTAATTTCCTTATTTGGGTCAAAATAAGAGAGTATTGGACCAGGGCTTTGTGTAATAATGCTTTTAACCTGTTGTAGGGCATTTTCCTGGGGTGCATCCCAGCTAAAATCTACATCTTTAGATAGAAGCTGTCTCATGGGTGCAGTAATTTCTGTGAGTTTGGGTGCAAATCTCTGTAAGTATATGACCATGCCTAGCACTGTTTGCAATTCCTGTTTAGAAGTAAGAGATGGCATCTCTGCTATGGCCTTGACCTTTGCAGGATCTATTTTTAAACCTTGATCAGTAATTAAGTGGCCAAAGAAAGGTAACTCTGTTTTCCCTATTTCTGTTTTGTCGGGATTGAGCTTGATACCTATTAATTGGCATCTTCTCAAGAGTCTGTCCAGATTTTGGTCATGTTCTGCCCTATCTTTGCCGTAAACAACAATGTCGTCGACAATTGTTCTTTCTCCTGGCAAATTTTCCAGACACTGTTCCATTTTTGCACAAAATGCATCATTTGCATTCTTTAGGCCATATGGGAGTCTTAGGAATCTGTATCTTGCAAAACAACTGTTAAAAGTTGTCAAGTAAGATGACTTTTCTGTTAGTTGGATAGACCAATAACCACTACATGCAACTAATTTTGAAAACACAGTAGCATTTGACAAGTCGGGCAATATGTCGTCCATAGTCCTATTAGGGTAATGAGGTCTTTTGATGGCATTGTTTAGATCTTTCGGATCTAAGCATAACCGTAAAGAGCCATTAGGTTTTTCTACTACAACTAGACTATTCACCCAGTCTGTAGGTTCTGTGACTTTCTTAATAATACCTAAGCTTTCCCTTCTGTCAAGTTCTATTTTAAGTTTGTCACGAATGGCAATAGGAACTCTGCGTGGAGGGTGAACAACCGGTGTGACATTGTCATGCAACTGTATTTCAAATTCCCCTGGCAATTTTCCTATTCCGTTGAAAACTGAGCACTTGCTCCTTTGTGATAGGCACTGTGCACGTATTTGACAAAACTAACTTAATTAAGTTTAATTTAAGGCATGTTTGAAGACCTAGAATGGGGCTTGAATGTGTATCTGCTATGTAAAACTCTTCTGTAGAGATTTGACCTTTATATGTACAAGGAAGATTGATACAGCCATCGACTTTGAGAGGCTGACCATTGTATACGGTTAATTGCTTTTGTGTTGGAAGTACAGGACCTAATTTGCCTAATGATCTGAATATTGACCTTGGGAGAACATTGACCTGAGCTCCTGTATCAATTTTCATATTAAGTTCTGTTGAGCAAACTTTGACCTTAGCAAATGCTTGATTTGTTGTGCTGTCATGCTCAACTGTATAGACATACATGTCATTATCATGACTGGGTAGGGGACAATCAAGATCATTTGTGTTAAAATTTGTTACCTCATTAACATTTTTGCTTCCTAAATCCTGTTTTCTTTTCCTACACACTTTTGCGAAATGATTAAACTTTGTACAGTACAAACACTTTTGACCCTTGGCTGGGCATGTATCACGTTTTAAATGGTAAGTCCCACAGTTATTACAGTTATTTGTATTTCCAGTAGGTACTCGTTGATTGTATCTAGTGCTGTGTTTGCTGCCATCTGTCTTCCTGATATGCGTCCGAAACTGCTTAAATGGTGCTGCTGCTGTTGCTGCTGAGGATTTTTTGACTGCATTGATGGATTGGGCTTGGCTGCTTATATCCCTTAGCTGTGTCTGACTTAATGCATAAGTGCGAGACAAGTCAATACATTTTTCAAGTGTCAAGTTTGATCCTTCATTGATGAGTTTCTCTCTTATCTGGTGGGAACGTACACCAAATACAATGTGATCACGTATCATCTCGCTTTGTATCTCTTCTGCGTAGCCACCGTCCTTTATTAGTAATTTTAAATCTGTGACGAACTCCTCAAAGGTCTGTCCTTCAGATTGTATACACGATTTAAATTTATACCTTGAGTAAATGTGATTCACTTTGGGTGCGCAATATGTCTCAAAACCTTGATAGAATGTCTGAAGCAGTTTTCTTTCTTCAGCTGTAACTGTCCAGGTTGAAAATATTTGGCGACCCTTCTCACCAACCCAGAGCATTAAGTAATTGCACTTTGCCTCCTCTGTTTTCTTCTCTAGTGGCCCTCCAAACATAAAGTCACAATGTTCTTTAAACTTCTTAAATGCAGTTGGCAAGTCTCTAGCTTCCCAGTCCATTCTTGGATTTGTTGCTGAATCCATCTTTTTACAATGGTTATAAATCCAGAATACGTTTAATTCCCGTTATTTTAATTATTATTATAAATAATTAAATCCTTTTATTCTGACACCATGTTTTATGTGTGTTAATTTGGTGTGGATGCAGAGAATACGAGATGTTGATACTATGAGTTTATTTCTAAGACTGTTTAACAATATGTAGTCAATTGGTCAGTACACTAAGTAGGCGGAGCCTAACAATCAAGTTTAAAGGTACTGCATGCAATATATATTTAATGTAGGATTAAATATGAAACAATATATATTTAATGTAGAATTAAATATGAAACACAGTTGTTAACGTTCCTATTTAACAAATGTTACAACTGATTGGGGAGGAAGATTATTGTACTGATAATGTTTGGCATCTATGTCCAAAGAAAAACTGGCTGACTTGCTCGTGTTTGGATTTTGAACCACTATTACGGTACTGCCATCGGGATTTTGGAATGCTGCACATTGAAGATCGTCCCAGTTGAAGTAATTAGCTTCTAGTCGGACGGCACCTGGCTTAACAAACTTGCTCATATGTCCCATAGCATAGTACTCGACATTTTTCGTATAAGAATGTTTTCCTGTAGGAACGGTTATAACACCACGACAGTCATTACAACCTCCCACGTTTTTCTGAAATATACAAATAGGAATAAACACTCCATACACACTCTTTTTTATCTAAATTGACATAAAAACACTACAATGTGAACGATGTATGTTAAACATACATACATGTTATATTTAAAGGCACATTTAGCCTCAGAAACTAATTAAGAAAGATCAAACATAAGTTCTATAACATTTACATACTGGTTTTAGTGTATGATAGATGCTTATCATCCAAAGAAAGTAGCGCTGAATGTGAAATTGATTGTCATAAAAGCAGCAAAATGTAAACAAAGTAGTATTTTGACTTCAATACAAAATATTAAATCAACAAAAATGTACTAATTGCCAAATAGCAACAGAAACAAAAGATGGTGTAGGTAAATGACCAACGAAAAACGTTTTGGAAACTTTAACAGGTCACCAGAAGTAAAAAGAAACGTTTGAGAAAAAAATCATTATTTCTGGGGAATAAAGGGCGCACGTCTATTTAGAACATTAAAGGTAAAATTGTAATTTTTGTATGTTCCATTTGATTGAACAAGATAATGGTAAGCAGTTGTATTTGGATGTTATGGTTAAAGGTTAAAGAGGCAAGAAACTTTTTACTTCATTTAAAACTTTCATCAGAATATTTATTTGTTAAACACCGTAAACAATACTTATGTTTCTCGAAAACAAATACAAATATCAAACACAACCTTTGGTCCATAGTGTTCGTCTAGTGCCAAGTTCCATAGTAACACGTTTTTAGCCCATGATTTTGTTTGTCCAATAAAAATGAGTCTCGTTTCAGTCGTGAGAACATCTGCATAATTTTTGTTCCATCCTCCACCGGAGTACTCCGTGAAATACATATCTACAACATAATTAATTCAGCTATATTCTACTTATTTATCATGTTTTGATTAATTCTTTTCATACACAATTTTAACCATATTTGGCACATTGAACTCCGGCCGTTCCTAATAACAAAAGGTTGTGGTGATATGTTTTAGCTGTATGTTTTCTGTCTATTCGTTTAGATCAAGTTTTGCATGGTCTAAGTTTTTCAATTCGTGAAATGTTCTAACACATATGTATATTATAACTGCTACATGTTTAGTTTCGCTCGTCGGTGACTTGATGCAAAAATTTGAACGAAGGTCGTAGCACATCTGAACCTGATTTTATGGCCGAGTTTAAAGAAATACATACCGACATGTTGATGTTTATTATGGAATGCCTCTGGGGCATCATGGCGTCCATAGTAGCCATGCCACGCTACACCTGATACATACTGCGCAACATTTCCTACAATCCAATCAAAATACATTTGTGTCATATTTAAAACAGTATTTCCAGAAAATACTACTTGTCAGTACTTATTATTAAAAATAAAAATTGAATCAAGACCTGTTGTTATACTATGTTAATATCAAACTTTGTTAATAAAAACTTCATTGACAACATGTTTGTGAATCAAAATATACAATTATGAATCTTTGCATTCGATTCTAATTGTTTAGAGACATTGGTACACTAACGGTTACCTGCAAGAAATTGAGATTATGCTGCAGCATAAAATACAAAGAAGAAACATTTTACCAATTATATGGCGTATCATATACGAAATCATACATTCAATTTACAGTAAACCTTCTTAAAGGAACATAAGATATGTTTAACATACCATCATTAAGAGCGGCTTCTGGGTACCAAGATCCGGACCAATTGTAATCCCACAGGAGCAGCTTAGATTTAATGTTCTTCTGTCTTAGCAACGGGCCAAGGTGATCCTTAATGAACGCTTTCATAGGATCTATATTGATGATCATGGTAGGGTAATCATTCTTTGATAACAGAGGCTCATTTTGGACACTAAACGAATCAAATGTTATTCCCTCTACCTTATACGCTTCAAAGAATTTTATAAAGTATTGAGCATATGTTTGCATATATCTACTGTCGTTTATGAATTCACCGCCAAAAAGATTTTTTGTAGTTTTCATCCATGCAGGGGCAGACCATGGTGTTGCCATTAGTTTTAGGTTCGGATTAACTGCTAGAATATCTTTAAGCACTGGAATGATGAATGCTTTGTCTTTATCGATACTGAAATGATTAAGATTGAAATCCGTTTGTCCATTCGGCATATCATCATATGTATATGGATCAACAGCATTTAGGTCTGAACTTCCCATTGGTAGTCGAAGGTAGCTTATACCTAGGAGGTAAGATACATTTTATACATATCTATTGATACAATTACAATGATTTAATATTTTGTATGGAAGTCCAAATACTACTTTGTTTAGATTTTGCTACTTTAATGACCAATAATTTCTCAATCAACGCTACAATGTACTATCTTTAGCTGATAACTTAAGCATATGTAATGTTCTAAAACCAATATTTTAATGTTACTAAACTCATGTTTGCCTTCTCCAAAAAAAAGGAAAAAAATGCATAATGTGCCTTAAATGTTCAAAATTGTTTATTACATGTAGTTCTTTTATCTGGTATGTTTTTGCGTTGCTTGCAATTGCAATCGAACCGATGACAAAATTTGTTATAAAGATATAATTCCATTTTCATTGCTTGCAACGGACACAAGTCTTGTGATTAAAATTCCAATTTCAGTTTGAACATTACGAAATAGCTTGTACTATTATCACTCCAATCGATACAACATAATATTAATAAATTAAGACTAACAGAAAGAGTTCATCACCTTCAAAAATGATATGTTTATATTATCTAAGGTATTTGAATGCAAAAAGGGTATACCTAAGTCGTTAATTCCACTCCCAAATAATTCAGTAATTATCTTATTTCTAATTGGACTGTGGTATATAACATATGCAGCTGAATTAGTCAAAGCGGCTCCAAAACCGCCAATCGTCTGCCTACGTTTATTTCTATCAACCCAAACACTGTAACCATGGTGTTGTGAAGTTACTGGACATGGCGCTTCTCTCGAAAGTTTTTTCGTCTGATCGCCAGTTGTCAACCAAACTTGATACTCGTCATTGTTACTCAATAAAAAGCTACATGAGATGTTTACATGCAGACATACAAGTAAAAGTGCTAATACTGTAAAAGAGGAAACAAAACCTGATTTTAATAATTTCAAAATGCAAACATTGCATTTATATTACGATTCTTTTTAACGTAGCATACCTGAGGACTCGTTAATATCTATATCATTATAATTAAGTAATTATAAGTGTATCATGATCCTTGCACTCATATAAAAACGGCTTTTGTTTTTGCCAGGGGATATGACCTTGTACGAGCCCTTGTTTGTAATGGTTATATAAGCTTAAAACCGTTTACATAGTGCAATAATAACCTGTCGAAATGTTTTATAACTAATACGTATGTCATTATTAATCGCTTTATTATATACATGCGATATCACTCAGTTTGTTCAGTCATAGGTTTGTGAATATCATGACTATTTATAGTAATACAGTAAGATTTTGTAATACATGTAGTTATAATTATATTTACCTCCATTTGATCCCATATTTCATTAACAATTACCTTATTACATATCTTATCAGGTCACGTATAAGGAACATTTTACTTTTATACTGATATATGAGCGGATGTTTTATCTCAGCACTTAAATTTAGATACAATCTAAGATGACATACAGGACATGATAAGTATTCTATCGTTGCTCCTCCGTTGTCATTTCTATTGTTGAATTTTAGTTTTATAATTGATGATATTGATTATTCATATGACTTATTTCATAAATAAAATGTTTATGTATTTCAATGTTATAATTGTTGCTCATCCGTTGTCTTTTCTATTGTTGAATTTTAGTTTTATAATTAATGATATTAATTATTCAAATGACTTATTTCATAAATAAAATGTTTATGTATAAAACTGTAGATTTTTTATGGAATTTTATCTAAAAGATCAAAGCATTTAAAACACTGACTAATTTATTCCAAGACAACGAGATATCTGTAATGATATTGCACCAATGTTATCATTATTCGTACAGACGATATATATTTAATACTATATCATGTATATAATTATACAGTATAAAACCTTAAAATTTTTTATTCAGAATTAAACATATTTACGCTTTTACTGAATAGAAACAATACTGAAGGTAAAACTGTTCATTAAATGAACTCCACTGAGGTCCAAAAGCAAAAAAAACAAAAAATTTAATTTGAATTTTTAACACAGGTCAGCTGGGGAACTTAAACAGGACATTAAAAAAAAAAGAAAATATAAAAGAAATAAATTGAAAATCATAATTTTGTGCTATTCTTAACCACATTTTAGTTAAGCGTTGCAGCGCTTTTCAATTTTGAGTAATTTTTCACACTTCGGTTTTTTTTCTCTGAAAAACAGAGAGAGAGCTCATGATCTGATATTTCGCACACACGTTTTTGGTCTAGATCTACATGAAATGGAAAATTAACCTCAAATAATTACTTCAAGTCCCATCATGTCAAAAAGCCCTACAGTAGTGTAGTCCCTTCATAGATGTGTTCAACAGCATTGATGTGAAAGGATGATGTGACTCAATTGTTGGAAGATGAAAAGTTTCTACTTCCAGTCACTGAAGTTTTGATCATAATAATAAATAGTTAAGCAAATAAAATATCTTATTTAGAATACAACCTACTAACTTGATCAATGCTAGTCATACCGTTTGAAAGAGGAAAAAAGCCAAAATATTGCTCGGAAACAAGGAAACATTGTGTAAACCACTTATAATGATATTACTACCTATCACAATAACTTTTTTTATATTTTAATTAATCAAGGAGACAAGAAAAAAAACTTACATATGCAATCTAAAAAATAAGCATAAAAATAAACAACTTCAGCATGTTTTCATCAGGATTTTACTCTTCCGCTTTTGATATGTTATTGTGTAATTACAATGTATTTGCCTATTGACACATTTCTAAGAATTACAGGATTGAACTTTAAAAGATGAATACTTATTTGTTACTTTGTGTAAACAATATACATATAATCTACAATTTTATGAAATAATATGAACGAAGTTAGACAAAAAATGATTTTGCCAACCTTAACCCAATAAATAAATTGTAAAATCATGACGAGTTTTGGTCCTTTAATACAGGAACGCTATTTGCACGTGAACAAACGTAGGCAATTTACGTTCTATGTTAAATTATATTTTCATGGTTAGTTTGCTATTATTCTGTTGTAAATTATAATGTGAGAATTCCTTTGAGGTAATTTTAATGTAATGTATAAATAGCTTCTTCTATAATGTTTTACGTAATGCAGACTATATGATCTATATAACATTATAAGCAGGTGCTCGTTTGTTTCTGTATAATTGTATTGTAAGTTGATTAGCCAGTCATAAATAGCCGTTGGAGGGCGTTGTTGTGCAAAGCATATATAAGCAGAGGTATTCAAGGCTCTATGACTTTGTTATGACTTTGTGCATAGGTTTATGTGCACAAGTTTGACTATGCAATGTAAAAGATGTGTTCTATATATGTATAATAGTTAAACAGATTATACCAAAGTTAGTTCAACACGGAACACTCTGCATGGTTATGTTGAGGCCAATATTGTGCAAAAGTTTTGTATCGACTTAAAAAAGAATACAACAATTTAAACTTTACTGTTAAATGATATCCTAAAGTTGATAAAATATTTATCTAGGTATATTGAATCAAAAAACTTCTGTTAATGAAATTCAAAACGGTAAACACAAGTACCACAAACCCGACAAGAAAGTTGAGCTGAATCAAAAATTGAAAAAAAAACCCCTCTAGATAGCCAAATTCATTTCAGTAATTTTACATATTATACGTGTATATCAATGGAGCAAATCAATAAAACGATATTACAGTTTATAATGTCCATCGTTGATCCTCATCAGTTAAATCAATTGCGTAACAGTAACAATCTAATAATTTAGATCTGAATATTTTATATCAAAATTTAATATCATGAATATCATGTCTCTAAGGTATTATTAACTAATTGAAAATAAAAATCAATGTTAAATTGCCATCATTATTGTAATCTGATTTGTCTATTACGATTCAGTATGAGCTAAGAGTTTCGTTGCAAATATTTTTGTTTCAATACATATTTTCATGGTTTTTTATAGATAGGTTCGGATAAACATTTCTACAAAAAATAATTTCCATTGTGGTATATTAGTATAAAGTAGTAAAGAGATTTTTTCCCTGCAATATATAAATGACAAAGCATTTATCGGTATTTCCGACCAAGTAAAACTATATAAAATACAAGTGGAGAATTTATATATGGAATTTTACGAATGATAATTTATTGTCTGTCTGGCAAATGGCACGTATGATGTAATGTTTGCCGTAGTATTTAAACACAAAACCTTTTAGAATTTATCGGAGAATGCAAAAATGAACACGTTCCGTGCAGTAATTTGGATATTATTAATATTTGACACAAGAGTGGAGCTTAATGAACTGAACGTTCACAAAATGATATTTAGCGGAAATTACAGCAAAGACGCTCGCCCTAAAAGGAATGCAACAGATGCACTTTCTGTATATATAAACTTAGTGATTTATTCTATTCATGATGTTGATGAAAAATATCAGTCAATATCAATACGAACAGTGTTAGATATTCAATGGAAAGATGAATTCCTGACATGGAATCCTGATGATTTCGATGGTGTCAAATCAATCACTGTTACAGGTGATAAAATATGGGTTCCTGACATAGTAATGCAAGACACATTTGTGTCGATTTTTAATTCAGTTGAAAAAAATGGTAGGGCAATACTTAACTACGATGGGCATGTAACAATTTGGCCAGGAGGCCTATTTCAAGTTGCGTGTAAAATATCTGTTAAAAAATTTCCATTTGACAAGCAAACATGTCCACTTGATTTCCTTTCATGGACTCGTCCTTCAACTTCGATCCGACTCATAAACTCAAACACCGAATGGAGACCACATGATCACAGCATCTTAGAAAAAGGAGAATGGTCTCTTCAAAATGTGAGAATAATTAACCAAACTAAAGTATTCGAAGGCGTGAAATGGGATCACGTGTTGTTCTTAATTGATGTTAAGAGGAAACCTCTTTTCCACGTTGTTAATGTTATCATCCCTGTTATGTTGATATCAATATTGGACGTTATGTGTTTTGTGTTACCTTCAGAGTCAGGAGAACGGGTGGGATTGTCGATCTCTATTTTCCTGACGTTAACTGTCTTCTTATCTGCTGTAACAAGTACATTACCCGAATCATCAGACGAACTAGCAGTTTTCACTTTATTTCTCGGTCTTCAAGTTTTAGGAAGCGCACTGTCGGTTATTATGACAAACATTTCACTGTTTTTATACTTTAAAGATGAACAAGAAACATTTCCGTTAATGGCAATGTATCTGGTGAAATTATTTTTCAATGAAAAAGAGTGTAAAAATGTCACATGGCACACTGTATCTCAGGCTTTGGACAGACTTTGTCTTGCTTTTGCAGCTATTTGGCATACAGTGCTAATATCGAGTTTTTTAATTGCAGTTTATCAATAATGATTAAAAATCTAAACATTATTATAACATTTTTGCTGGATGCAAATTAAAAATACACCTTAATTTTATAATAATATTTCGCATGTAAACATATTAAAAAATAAGTACATGTACTTGAAGCAGGACATTGCCTGTAACACAAAGGAATCTTGATACTATCATTATGTACACTTAAAATTGTAATTATCAAAATATTTGAAATGTAATTGAACAGAGTATAACATATATCCATTACAAGAGGGCATGGACCCAAACAAAAACGTGAGAAACATTTGTCTTTGTTTGTTTACTTTTTAATAAAATCTTCAAGTAGAGATGTGGTCTCGCATGGTAAGTGTTTTGTGATTTATACTGTCAATGTGTTTTTAATAATATTTAATGATAATAAGTTTAGCAGCAAATAGACAATTAACTATATAAAACAATGGAGGAGAAATAGCCGATTATATTTTAAACTATTTTGTTCTTGGGTAAAGTATACTCTTTCTTGTGTCTCTAATGCTTATATACATTATTGTTATTTCTTATCTAATGATTAACGTATATGTATATGACAAGACTCATATCAGCTTATATTGCATATGGTGTTCAATATTTGTTATGCAGAGATAATGCCATAAATATAAATGCAAAATAGTATATGAGAAATATAACAATATGGTTTGGTACACAAAAAACAATTACTTGATTGTGATTCATTACAATTATAGAGTATGGCTGACATTTAACCACTGACTCTTTGGGGAAAACTTTGTTCTATGTGGGTTATCTTATAATGCAGTTAAATATAATACTGATCAATGTAAATTTCAACGAGCACATTTGCTTAAATATATTCATACCATTCTTTCAACAATGATGAGATAAATTAAACATGTTATTTTATTTTTTATGAAAGAATCACAGTAGTCCTTACAATATGCAAATATAGAATCACGCAAAGTAAAAGGCTTGTTACAGAGATTTAAGCGTGAATTTGCAAATGCGTATTACGATGTTTATAACAAATATATTCCATTAACTTCATTTGTGGTAGCTGTACATGGATAGAGTC